CAACAATCGGGCTCCTGCGGTCGTGGGCTTCAGACACACACCCACACACATACACATACACACTCGCAGAAAGAGAGCAAAGAGGAGGAAGAAGGGAAAGAGAAGGAAAGAAGAAAAATGTATATATATATGTGTATATATATATATACAAAAAACAATAAAGAGCAAGAATTAAGAGAAATATGTATATAGAGAAGGGAAAAGAAAAAAAGGAAAAAAAGAAAAGGAAACGAAAACAAAAAGAAAAAGAAAAAGAGAAAAGAAAAGAAAAAGAGAAGAAAAAGAAGAAAGAAGAAAAAGAAAAAGAAAAGAAAAAAAGGAAAAGAAGAGGAAAAGAAAAAAAAAACCACGCACACACACAAAAAATGACCCCTTTACTCCACCTGGCGGAAGAGGCAGGTCCTTTCGCACGATGTGTGGGTAGGGGTTGAGTCGCCTGGCAGAGGGGCTAGTTATGTTGTCTTGGATCACAACTATACAAAGAATTTAAAAGAAAAAAAATAAAAAATGGCCCCTTTACTCCGCCTAGTGGTGGAGTCCAGCCCTTTAGCGCAGTGTGTTGGGGCAGAGGTCGAATTGCCAGGCTGAGGGGGACTTATGTGTCCCAGATCACAGTTCTATAAGCAGTCTCCCTCAGTTCACTCTCAGTTCACCGTCACCTTTGCGGACAGCGCCAGCGACTGAATGGAACAGGGCCGCCAGAGACCGCCTGGAAACTCGGCAGCAATATCGCTCTTTCTCTCTTTTCTGCTCTTTCCGAGGCAAGGCTTGAGTCTGCGGCTGCGACAGACTCCGCAGATTCAGGAGAAAAAGTAGCTGCGCGCGCTACTCTCCTCGCAGGGCGCGACCAGCTCTGCCGCAGAGGCAGCAGGTATGACTCAAGCGGACGCCCGGGCAACAAGTCCCCGTGGTCGCAGGCTTTGGGGTCCCCGAATTGCAGCTGCCCACCCTCTGCTAGTCAGCGCTGAAGCCGACTGCACCGGGAGGGCATCCAGAGCCGGGGTCCGCCGTTGCCTATTCCCAGAGGTGCTTCCCTGGGCCGCCTGCTGAGCCCGCCCCCCACCCTACACATGGCGACTCTGGACCCGTCCGCGGGAGGACTCTGTGCTTGTCCCTCCCAGCACCCGCGGAACTTTCAGCGATTTCCGCGGGTAGACCCTTTCATGGAGTTCTCCTCCCCCGATCTAGTCCTGGCGGTCTCCTGTGGCAAGAAGCTGCTTCCAAACTCTCCCCTGTGGGCTCAGGTGGCCTCCGATCTGGGGAGCGCGCGCTCGGGCCGGTCCCTCCCCTCCAATGCCGACCCAGCGCCGCGCTCCGGAGCTTTCGAAATGGACCCAGCTCCTGTCTCGGCTCCCCACCGCTTGTCGGTCTGTGCTACCACTTCGCACTGACTTCTGGCACTTCCCTGCCTGCGTGGGAGTGGAGTTTGGTAGAGGAAGAGTCGTCTTCCTGTGAGTCAGATCTCACTGCCTGGGCGAGCCCGCCGCAGGGCGTGGCTGTCCCGTGCTGGACTTCCCCTTTGTCCCAACTCTCTGGTGATTTGCGAGTGCTTATGCAGCTAACCTGATTCCATCTGCGGGACTGCTTGTCCCTCGCTGCTTCTCTGTAGGTTCACGAAGCTGATCCTGCAGGGGAGCGCCTCACTCGCGTGTGGGTGTCCATGTTCTTCACCTCCCACTCTGGGAGCAGAGAGCCAGGAGGTCACCCCTAATCCACCATCTTCCCGACTAGCCTCAAAGTATAAATTTAATCAATCTTTTTATCTTCCTCCAGAGAAAAAAAAAGATCTTAGAACACATTAGTTCTGATCATCCCTCTCCTGACCTCTATGCTATTATTGTTATGTATTTTAGTTCCATCTCACTTTTAATCACACAAGAAATATTGTTTTATGCAGTCAGTCATTGTTTAGTTTTACCTACATAGTCATTACATTTTTTGTTTATAATTCTTTCTTTCATCTTAGATTTTCCATCTGGGATCATAGTCCTTTTTGAAGTCCTTTAGGGTATTCTTTATGTGTGTTTGCTGATCTTGTTTGCCTAAAAATGTCTTTTTTTGGCCTTCATTTTTGAAATGTATTTTTTACCAGGTATAGGATTCTAAATTGACAGTTATTTTTCTTTAGCACATTAAAGATACTATAGCATTGTTTTTGGTGTAGATTTTTTTTCTTTTTTTTACTATCGAGAAGCCCATTCTTAGTCTAATTGTTTTCCAGCTTATGTAATTTATCTCTGATACCATATAGATCTCCTCTTTGTCTTTGATATTCTGCAGTTTCACTATGTTGCATGTGTACATATGTGCATACACATGCATATGTGTGCTCATATGTATATGTTCATCCTGCTTAGAATTTGTTGGACTCTTTGAAACTGCAGATTAGTGTCTAGAAAATTCTCAGTCATATTCCTCATCTTCTCTCTTTTTCTATACTCCTGATTTGTTTTATGTCAGATGTATCACTTTATTCTCTATAGTATTTAACATGTCTTTTATTTTTTCCATCTCTATTTCTTTTTTATTGGTAACTTGTTCAGATCTACCTGAATAAAAATCAAAGTACTTTTTGGGAAAGGGAAGGAAGAAATGAATATTGTGTAGACAACCTACTAAAGTCAGCTACAACTATCCTTTTCAACTTTATTTTTATGTTTTAAATCTCTATTTTGTGTAAACACATAGTTTGTTTTGCTTCCAATACTTTGGAAGGTTCGTGCATTATTTTAGTTCTTCATGACTTGCAACATAATACATTATACTTCAACTTTTATTTTGTGATCTTTGCATTTTAGATAGCATCTATTGATTTCTCATTGTAAAATGAAGACATTAGAACATAATTCATGCATTTACATTTTATCTGATACCTCCTACTCCCAGATTTCCATTGTTTATGTTATAATTCTAATCCTTCTTATGAGTACTTTTTTACTTTTTAATAATATATTTAAACTTCTGTTATTTTATTTATCAGCCTTAAACAGTGTCTGTTGACCTCTGTATCTGAAAGATGAGGAAATCAAAGCACTTACTCTCTCTATATTCCATTTACCTCCCTTTATTCCTTTCTTGATTTCTTTTTAGTACATACATTAGTATTTCTATATTCATATTTAGATTTTTTTACTATCTAAATACAAGTAATAAAGTTCTGTTCCATAATCATAAGTCTCATGGTTGTTTTGACTTAGTTCTATATTTAAATGAGTTTATTGCTCTTACTATTATTTCCTTTATTTCCAAGTTTTCTCTCTTTATCTCTGTGTTGGTGGCCTTTATTGTTATATACTTTTTACAGGAAGGGCTCATGGTTGATATCTTTCCTGAATTTTGGAAGTTTTAAAATGTTTGTTATCTTCATGCTTAAATAAAAACTTGGCATTTGTGTGTTGCAGTGGAGAAGTATGAGGTTAACTTCATATTTTTTACTTGTAGGAAAAAAGAATAACAAATTTGATTATTTTATACTGTTTGATTAATAGATTGAACAACTTTTCTTATGTTTTTTGGATTTTTGGTGGTAATTATGAATATATAAGAGCATGAACATATAAGTCATGCTAAAGTCAAAGCAGAAGTTGGGGTTAGCATATACTCTATTGAAGGAGTTGGCAAATGATGGCCTGCCAACCATTTTTGTATGGTCTACAAGCTAAGAATGGTTTTAACCAATGAATATTTACAACCAATTTAGAGATAGGTAATATAACATCTCAGTTAAGTGAGATGTTATCCCTCCAAAAAATAATTTTATTTGTCTTATAGGTCTGTATTACAAAAAATCATACACAATTATTATTATCATATATTAAATTTAATCAGTAAAACATTTGTGGAAATTTGTTTTTTCTTTGGTTATATAAGTACCTATGTAATATCCTCAATTTTGCCTGTCAGCCCACAAAGCCTGAAATATTTACTCTTTTGACTTTTTTTGGAAAAAGTTTACTTTTCCTGCTTTACTGCAGATTCAGAATGGGTTTGATTCAGGGATGCTTTTGAATACAGTGGGATCTATCTCCCTTATGATTTGTTTCTTCATCTTATCTCAAGATATGGGCAAAGTTGTATCCTTCAGTTCTTGGCTGTAGCGAATAATCCTTCTATGGCCGTTCTTGATATTCTTTAGGTCATGATTGGGACTCTTCTTTTTGTACCCCAAGTCTCATCAGTAGGTACACTGTCCTACATTGATAATGTAGTTATCAGCTTCATATACCCACCGTGGAGATTTCTAGCATTTCTACTCCCGTAAGAACTACTCTTGCCTCTGGCCTATTTAATTTTATCTTATTTGATTTGTCTGAAGCATATTTATTTGCCAGTTATAGATTTTTCTACCCTATGTTGATTCTAGGCTTAAATTCTTCAGTTACAGTATACTTCCATACAGTTCATCATCTTTATTTGGAAACTTTCTGTATCTTGTTAGATTTTCCTCAGCAATCAGAAAGAGACTCCTTTTTTCATATTTCAAAACTCACTTCCTATCGTTCTGTTCTATTCTATCTCAGGAATGCTGGTTGTATATGGATGTGACCTTTTTGTGCTTAGTGAATGGTGAAATTAGTTTAATGCTTGAGCTACCAGTTCTGTTGACTTTCTTAAGTTCCTTTTGATGATCTTCCTTAAGGAAGTGATCTTAAAACTTATCATTATCTTTAGTATGTAATTTAATGTAAACTAAATTTGTATGTACATAAACCCATCAATGTAAGAATGAAAAAAATTGCCTTGGAGAGGAATTTAGACAATGTAGAGATTTCCCTGAGAAGGATAGCTAGCTTAGTGAAGGGTCCAGAAATTATACTATATATAAGAAATACTTTGAAGGTAATTAGGATATTATATTAAGCCACATGAGAAGTTGGGAACTATATATGCAATTTTGAATACCAATAATCATAGCTGTCAAATTGTCTTTCATATTAAAGAAAATAATGTGAATATATTTTTACAGCCAATTACTTCATAGTTTAATTCAGAAAAAGAATATGGAGACATTCATACCCATTAGTTTGACAACTGTAAATCAAGACACAGAAAAGGAGGAAAATAACACAAAACTGAGGTAAAAATAAGATATAATGAGATTTTTTTCTAAAGTAAGATTTCAACAATATATGTCTAGTGGTAAGCCATCCTGATGGTGAAAAACTGAAAATGTCATTAGGAGGGTTTATTGAGGTTCCAGAGTTTAGAAAACCGTAGTTTCTCAGAGAGTGGTTTCTGACAAGATAGGCAAATTTACACTGGTTGCTGGCTCCTTCCTCCAGACCAACCTTGGAAATGCCAAAAAAAGGAGAGGGAGGTTGATGGGTATGAGAAATTAACCGACAACTGAAAAATCCCAGGAAGGCAAAAGGTACCATTTATAATAGTAATGAAAAATAAAGTACCTAGAAAAATTACTTTTTAAAATGGTGTGATTCTGACCTTTATGAATAAAATTATAAAGTTTCATTGAGAACCCAACAATATTTATATAGAAAAGCAAAGGTCCAAGAACATGTAAGTACTCTTTAAGAAAAAGAAAATGTGGGGTTCTTGACCTACAGCTATAAAAACTTATTATAAAGCTATATTAATTAAGGCAGTGTGATACGGAAACAAAGATAGAGAAATAAAAATAAAGAACCCAGGGAGAGGTAATTGTATACATTTTGAGTGATGACAAACTTGGTGTTACAGGTTGGTGAGGAAAGGATGAGGGTGTTCAGTAATGGTGCTATGACAATTGTCTATCCTTATTGGGTGGGGTAAGGGAAGAAATTGCATCTGCCTCTTACACCCTACCCAAAAATCAAGAATTTAAGGACTTATGTATGAATTTAAAAACTTGTGAAAGGCAAAACTTTAATACTGTTAGGCAAACATATAAGATAATTTTGTCATCACCTGGAGTAAGGAAAGATTTCTTAAAGAAGGCATGAATGACACAAACCATAAAGACAAAGATAAATTATATCAAAGTTAAGAACTGCTGCTCATTAAGAGGTCAAGAAGTGAAAAGATAAATCCAAACTAGAGATGTAAAATGACAAAAGATTACTAATCAAAATGTGTAAATAACTCCTAAACATTGTTAAGAAAATGGCAAACAATTCAGTACAAAAAAAAAAAGAACAAAGGATATATTTTAATGGAGAGGAAACTTTTCAAGATATTTATAAACCAAATATGAGCTCACAAAGTGCTCAAAGGAAAAGGATTTAAGAATACCTAGGAAGCTATCCATAAATAAGTTCAAAGAAGTTGTGATTTATTTGTCCTCAAAAAGAAGTGTTACCATTTGAAGTATTTTATTTGTTTCATTTCTCAAAACAAATAGAAATGAAAACACAACATATCAAAACCCATGGGATGGCCGGGCGTGGTGGCTCACGCCTGTAATCCTAGCTCTCTGGGAGGCTGAGGCGGGCGGATTGTTTGAGCTCAGGAGTTTGAAACCAGCCTGAGCAAGAGCGAGACCCCGTCTCTACTAAAATTAGAAAGAAATTAATTGGACAATTAAAAATATATAGAAAAAATTATCCGGGCATGGTGGCGCATGCCTGTAGTCCCAACGGACTCTGGAGGCTGAGGCAGTAGGATCGCTTGAGCCCAGGAGTTTGAGGTTGCTGTGAACTAGGATGACGCCACGGCACTCTAGCCCGGGCAACACAGTGAGACTCTGTCTCAAAAAACAAACAAACAAACAAAAAACCATGGGATACAGTGAAAGCAATAGTAAGAGGAAAGTTGATAGCAATAAGTGCGTACATCAAAAAACTAGAAAAGCTTCCAATAGTTAACCTATTGATGCATCTTAAAGAACTAGAAAAACAAGAGCAAACAAAAACTCCAAAATTGGTGGAAAAAAATAATAAAGAGCACAGCAGAAATAAATGAAATTGAAACAAAAAATTAAAAAGATCAATAAAACAAAAAGTTGGATTTTTGAAGAGATAAACAAAATTGATAAACCTTTATCCAGACTAAGAAAAAAGAGAGAAGATCCAAATAAATAAAATCAGAGATGAAAAAGGAGACATTATAAATGATACTGCTGAAAGTCAAAGGATTGTTAGAGACTACCATAAGTAACTATATGCCAATAAATTGGAAAACCTAGAAGAATTGGATAAATTCCTAGACACATGCAACCTACCAAAATTGAACCAAGAAGAAATCCAAAACCTGAATAAAACAATAGCAAGTAAGGAGATAGAAGCAGTAATAAAAACTCTCCCATCAAAGAAAAGGTAGGACCCAATGGCTTCACTCCTGAGTTCTGCCAAGCATTTAAGGAAGAACTAATACCAATCCTATTTAAAGTATTCAAAAAAAAATCAAGGAGCAAGGAATACTCCCAAACTCATTCTATAAGGCCTGTATCCACCCTGATACCAAAACCAGACAAAGACACAACAAAAAAAGAAAACTGTAGGCCAATATCTCTGAACATAAATGCAAAAATTCCTCAACAAAATACTAGCAAACTGAATTCAGCAACACATTAAAAAGATTATTCATCATAATCAACTGGTATTCATCACAGAGATGCAAGGGTGATTCAATATATGCAAATCAATCAATGTGATACATCATATCAATACAATGAAGGACAAAAATCATATGGTCATTTCATTTGATGCTGAAAAAGTATTTGATAAAATTGAACATCCCTTCATAATAAAAACTCAGAAGAACAGATATAGAAGGAATATACCTCAACACAATAAAAGCCATATGTGACAGACATACAGCTAGTATCATACTGAATGAGCAAAAACTGAAAGCCTTTTCTCTAAGATCTGGAACAAGACAATGATGCCCACTTTCACCACTGTTATTCAACATAGAGCTCTAACTAGAACAATTAGACAAGAGAATGAAATAAAGGGCATCCAAATTAGAAAGGAAGAAGTAAATTATCCTTGTTTGTAGATGATGTGATCTTATTATATCTAGAGAAATCTAAAGACTCCACACAGAATCTATTAGAACTGATAAACAAATTCAGTAAAGTTGCAGGATACAAAATCAACATATAAAAATCAATAACATTCTTATATGCCTATAATAAACAATCTAGAAAATAAAGTAATTCCATTTACAATAGCTACATATAAAATACTAGGAATAAACTTAACCAAAGACTTGAGAGATCTCTATAACAAAAACTATAAAACATTGGTGAAAGAAATTGAGGAGGACAGAAAAATAGTGGAAAGATATTCTGTGCTCATGGATTGGAAAAATAAATATTGTTAAAATGTCCATACCAGTCAAACCAATCTTCAGATTCAATGCAATCCCCGTAAAAGTACCAATGACATTCTTTACAGCAATAAAAAAATTAATCCTAAAATTTATATGGAACCACAAAAGACCCAGAATAGCCAAAGCCATCATGACCAAAAAGCACAAAACTGAGGAATCACATTACCTAACTTCAAATTATACTACAAAATCTCACCCTAGTTAAAATGGCTTTTATTCAAAAGACAGGCATATGAATGTCGGCAAGGATGTGGAGAAAGGGGGATGTTTGTACACTGTTGGTGGGAATGTAAGTCAGTGCAACCAGTATGGAAAACAGTATGGAGGTTCCTCAAAAACCTAAAAATAGAACTACCACATGACCCCACATTCCACTTCTGGGTATATTAATATTTCCAAAGAAGGGGAATTCAGTATATGAAAAAGATATCTTCACTCCCATGTTTATTGCTGCACTATTCACAATAGCCAAAATATAAAACCAGCCTAAGTGTCCATCAGTGGATGAATGGATAAAGAAATTGTGGTACATATATACAATGGAATATTATATAGGCACAACAAAGAATGAAATCCTGTCATTTGCAACAATATGGATGGACCTGGAGAACATTATGTTAAGTGAAATAAGCCAAGAACAGAAAGACAAATCTTGCATGTTCTTACTCATATGTGGAAGCTAAATATTAAAACAATTGATCTCATGGAGACAGAGAGTAGATAGTTACCAAAGGGTGGGAAGGGCAGTGGGGAGGTAGGGATAAAGTGGGGATGGTTAACGGGTGCAAAAACATAATTAGATGGTTAGATAGAATTAGCAGTATTTGATAGCACTACAAAGTCACTATAATCAACCATAAGTTATGGTATACTTTAACTAAAGAGTGGAATTGGAGTGTTCCCAAAACAAATGATAAATGCCTGAGGTAATGGATACCCCAGTTACCCTGATTTGATTAATACACATTGTGTGCCTGTATAAAAACATCACATCTACCCTATACAACTGTTACGTAACCATAACAATTAAAAATAAATTTTAAA